GTTGTAAATTTTGTCCCAAGAGTTGTAAAGATTTGTCCTTTACATTATTTTCTTGCAATATTATTTCCTTGGCCGTTAAAAATTGAATTTTTATGGAACCATTACGTGATTAATAAGAAAGTGTGAAAACTACAAAATTGGTCCCATAGAATAGAATGAACTACAAGTTTGGTCCCAACCTATTCAAAATCGGTCTTAAACAATTTTTGCTGCAACAATAGTGTTACAAATATTAGAAACTAGCTAATTTTACATTTTTGTTCTTTCTGAAATGAGATTATGTTTCATCTCCTTCATAACGATGCTTAAAAAAAATTAAACTAATATATATTTGATTTAAAAAATAAATATTCTACTAAAACTTGAATATTAATATATAATTCTATAATTTATGCAAATAACTATGATTATAAGTAGATCAAGTTAAAAAGAGTGTATATAAAAAATATGTCACTATTATTGAAATACAAAAGACATTAATAGCCTTACAAGACACAACTGACACGTATCAATTAAAAAGAGTGGAAATGAGAAATTCGCAAGAACGACTCACCTCTCTTCAAATATCTCTTCGATTTCCGATGGCTCTTGGTAGAGAAGGCGGGTAGTGAGCAATGTTTTAAAACGCGTATAGCGTAATGTGTCGCGTTTTGGTCTTTATACTGCGTAACGTAAATAGCGTTGCGTGTTACGTAAGCTATTTAGGTATAAAAAGTTTATTTTTATAGAAATATTATAAATATATTTGCATATAATAAAACTGGATGGTTGATTCTAAAAATCATCATAATATCTGAATGAATTCAAAAATAACATCTAAGAATTATTTCTCACAAATGTTTAATGTAAATATCATAATATAAATATTTAAATAATAAAGCGAACATACTAAAAAGTAAAAATATACAACGAAAATATAATGAGGTAAGTCATAGTTTAATTTGAAGTATATGTATTTTAATTATTATTTTTATTTAACTACAACTTAATTCTAACCACTGAACTTTTTATTCTTTACTTAAATCTTAGATATCGAAAATTAAAATGATATAATAGAAATTTACCGATAAATATTGTACAATTTAACTTAAGATTTTGCATTTTCAAGCTTTTACTTTAAAATCATTATCAAAAGTTTAGTCTCTAGTTGTAATTTGAAATCCCCTCTATATATAATTTCAGAATGCGCTGAGCCTACGTGACAAAATCTCATACTTCGGAATCCTATTTGGCAAAAAACCATGCTTTGGAGTTAGGCTTGGATATAAATTAATACTCCCTCCTATTCATAATAAGTGTCGTTTTAAGAAGTTGCACACTAATTAAGGATATTTTTTTTGTCAATAATAACCCTCTTTAATGAAGATAAAGAATGATGTTTTGGGAAAAAATGAAAAGTGAATATGAAAAGACGTAGTGTATTTATTAGCTAAATGAGGGTAATAATGGAAAAATATGTACAAAAGATCCAAAACGACATTTATGTGGATAATAGTTAACAAAGCCAAAATGACATTTAAAAAGAATAGGAGGTAGTATTTTTTATCACACTAAATCCATAAATTGATTTTTTCCTTCTTTACTTCTAAAATTAGTTAGCATAAACTATTTTATGTTTCATTTTCCTACATTACCATACATCATATTTCATTTTCTTATATAATTCATTCATTAGTTTTTATAAATGTTTCTTCTTCTTATTTTAAGATTTTATAACTTTTTTTGTTTGTATTTTATTTTTCATATATGATACGTCAAATTAACCATCTTTAACGATTTTCGATTTGACATCCATATTATATATATAAAATACAAAACGGTAATATATATCCTTATAAATAAAATTTAAATTTATTTAACAAACTAAATTAAATTATATCAAATCAAAAAATAAATATGACCATATTATTTCTATTTATTTGAGATTTATATTTTTGTACTTATGTAATAGTAAATAATAACGATATTTTTATATGATATAAATAAAAAAATTCAACACGAGTTGACATTTTTATTCAATGTACGGGTGTTTGATCATTATGATTAAAAAAATATAATTTTCCAATTTAATTAAAACCAAAAGTAATGTTTATATAAAATTAAATTATTTAAGTTTAAAAAAAATAAAAAAATTTATATTTTTTACAAAAGATTTCTAATTCAACACCCGTATATATAAGGGTGTTGTATTAGTAAATATACTCAAACTATGTAAATAAAGTAAAGTATTAAAATGAATTTGAATATCTGAGTTATTTTCTCTTGATATTTACACAAGAATGAGACTTTCTTATCCGTTTGTGAGTAGACAAAATTACATTACGAAACTCATCTAAAAAATTTAGTGTACATACGAGTAACTATCTCAGTTTGATTATTAATTCAATTATCTCCTTGTGGCTCTTTTACTAAGCACAATAAGATATGATATTATTAGCTATCCAACTTTATTCCGCGTTTATTATTCTTAATAGCACATATAATTTGATCTATGTGGCATGTATTGGTCCACTAATTAATCAGGCAATGGTTGATATTTTATTGGACTTAGAATTTGATCTATGTGGCATGTGGTGGTCCACCAACTAAACAGGTAATGGTTGATAATTTTACATGAACCTAAGATCATTTTATCCTATCATCTTCATGGGTAAAACTTACTTTGTGCCGTTAAAGTGTCCTCAGAAATGTCTTAAAAACGCTTTTAGTTTGAATTATTTACAAAAATGTATCCTTGCTCATGCCCGATTGTAGACAATTAAATTTGAGCTAATAAAATGACGACAAGTGTCAAATTCCATATCATAGTCAATTTAATAATTTTCTATTTTATTCAGGATATTAATCAAATTTTAATTCATAAATTAAATAGTTAATTAATTAATTATTTAATATATATTGTTGGCCAATTATAAAATGCCACATGTATATTTTGAAGGCCAATTAATGAATGTCACATGTCATTTTCTTGGAGAGTAAAATAAATAATTATTTCTTTTAATAGTTATTAAAGAGATAAATATTTATGGACCAATCAAATTGAAATCTTCTTTTCCAAGACTCTATCTCCTAATTATATCTTTAAATAATTATTAATAAGTAAATATTGGAAATTATGGACCAATCAAATTAAAGTTTTGTTTTCTAAGACTCTCTCCCCTAACACCTATAAATAGGGGCTCTCCCTAAGGTCAAAATTACAATTCATATTTACAATTCAAGTTCCAAATCAAGAGCTCTAGAGAATTCCCTCAATGAGATTAAAGTGTTCTTGAAGATCCAAAGGCGTTCCTGAAGATCCGAAAGAAGATTCAAGCGTTCAAGCTCAAAACCAACGTTCAATCCGGAAACAAGCTGCCAAGCCTCCGAATTGAGTTATTAAAGTCAAGACCGGCGTAGAGAAGATCAAAATCAACTTTGTAGTGAAGACCAAGGCTCGTGTTCTTCACGTTCTTGGGAAATCACAGCGTTCGATTCGAGATCAAGCTGTCAAGCCCTCGAAGAAACGTTATTTAAATCCAAATTCAAGATCGGCGGAGATCAAACTAAAGATTCATCTCCAAAAGTCTCAAATCTACTTGAAGATTGCTCTTGAAGATATTAATCAGAGGAATAATAGAGATTTGTAATCTACTATATTTCATTTGATCTGTTGAAAATTCATTTGTACGAAGTTCTCGTGCTTATTAATTCAATAATACGAATTTTTCGTTACACCGATAGTGCCAGATGAGAATGATTGAAAGCCAGAAAAAATCGCACCTGAGAGGACTTGGTTCGCACTGGGAACATGACGACAAGAACCAATATCGGGAGCTACGAGGTCAACACTTGGAAGACGGAAAAAAATTGTTGATCGTCATGCCATAATGAATCCTTATTACATAATCCCTTGTGACTTCCCCAGGTGGGCCACGATCATGAATGCTTGTGGAGCTACAAGGTCCACACTAGTCGGGGCCGCTTTAGGGTTTTTGCGGGCTCGTTGGATCCGGCAGCCACCGCGACTCTGCTCAGCTCCGGGTAGTCGAGCTTGATGGACGAATTGGGCTGCTGTAGCGACGGGGGAGGTGGTGCATGGGGGCCAGAGATGTTGAAGGCCAGGTCACATTGGGCTGCTGCATATTGGGTCGGACCATTGTTCATCTTAATAGCATGCTTGTAAATGTTCGATGTCTTCATAAGAGTTTTAGACGTGCGTTTTTAGATTGTATTGGAGTTGGGATCGATTTAATCAACATTTTCGAATTAAAGTTATAATGATTGTAATAAAAATATAATATTGTGCTTGGTCTGATGAAAGATAATGGGAATAAGTATTGCCTTCCCTTATATTTTATATAATTACTTACCTTGAGTCGAGCCATCCAGAGGCGTAGCCACATCGAGCTATTTGTTTTGCTAACCCCCTCAATTATATTTTTAGGTTAAACAGCTGGACACGAGGGGCGATGGTGGTCAAGATGTATTATGTTTCCGCAAGACTTTTACAATTTCATGCTTTTCAAGTTATTTATGAGAACTTGTTTTGAAACTCTCTCATTAAGCATGAGATTTTGTTTAAACAGTAAACAAGTTAACATCTAAGAAGTTAAGTCAACAGTGGGATCAGTATTCCCAAAAGAACTTAAGTTAGCAGCTTAAGTTAGAAAGAGAAAAAAAGTTTTTAGCAAAACTAAGAAAGAGTTTTTAAGTAAGTTCCTTAAAAAAGTTTCTAAAAATTAAAGTGTTTTCGAAAAAGTTCGAAATTCTTTCTGAGTACATTTTCAAAGTATAAGAAGAGGGTGCTACAATTTTCATCACTTTGTAACCTATATAGCATTTCTCGCACTATGCCTGCTATATATATATATATATATATATATATATTCCGTCTATTTGTTCTACTTTTACCCAGATTCAGTAATTGTCATTTGTCAACTAAAAAATTACAGTAAACACACATTAAGCACATATCATTCCATGTACAAGTAAAAAGAATGAAACCACTTATTGCCCCCCTACGCAAAAATAGCCACCACCAACACAACCATCTGAATCAACAAACTAGGCGGGCCCCACTCGCTCCCCCCTCCCCTGGTGTCGATCATGACCCCAAACCGGCATGTCCCGACCGACGGATCCCTTGTAACAACCATCGACAGGTTCGCGAACCTACACGCATCCGCCCGCTGGTCTTGAATCTGGTAGTAGCTATTGAACGCGTACGATATGTTCCCCCTTGCGTCCAGGCTCCCGCACGAGGTCCCGTACCCGAGGCTCGTGCAGTCGGCCCTCGAGCACGCGTATGCCACGCTGTCCGCCACCTGCGGGTCGTCCAGCCTGGCATTCCCGGCCATCACGCACCACCTCCCAGGGAGGCGGCGGACGCCCTGCGCCCCCACCACCGTGCCTCTCGGCCCCAAGCTGAGGTTGTACTTTGAGGTGCCGTCGTAGTAGAAAATCCCCCAGTGGCGCTCGAAATTCCCCGGTTGGATACTCTTCGCGTCCTCGTCCACTAGGCTGAAAAGGTAGGCGTCGATTGGGCCGGGCCTCATGGGCGTCCCTTGGTTGACTCGGGATAGAAAACCCTGATTGAACCTCTGGGCGTAGCCCGGGTTGGCGTTGCGGTCCCCGTCGGTGGGCCACCCGATCTCGCCCACGATGATGGTCATGTTTGGGAAGCCGTTGTTGTAAAGGGCCCAGACGAGGGTGTCGTAATTGGCATCAAAGACGTTTGTGTAGGTGCGGGTCCCATCGACAATGGGGGACGAGTAACCGTTGAAGAAGGCGTAGTCGATGGGGAATCCCGGGTCATTGTAGAGGCTGATGAAAGGGTAGATGTTGACGGTGAAGGGGGAGCCGTTCTGGGCGAGGAAGGAGACAATTTGGAGCATGAGGTCGCGAATGTTGGGGCGGAAGTCGCCGGATGATGGGAGTTGGGAGGGGCTCTGGTAGACGTCGGCGTTGAGAGGGACCGTGACTTTGACGCGGTTGCCGAGACCGGCCTTGATGAGGGCTGCCTGGATGTTTTGGAGGGCTGGGAAGGTCGTGGACTCGAACGTGCCGTTGTAGGTTGATAGGAATGGCTCGTTTCCCACCGCTACGTACCTTGCGGGATAAAAACATGTGATTAGTGGCAACAACAGTTAGATTTATGCACTTGAAGAAGTGTTGTGGTACCAAAAAGATATTGTTGTTGGTTGCTTTAAATAGAGTATACTTGATATGAATGGCAACTAGAAGAGTGGAGTTGTGAGTAAAATAGTAACTAATTTAGGGGTGTATTTAAATTGAGATCTCAAGTGACATTTGGAGACTTATTAAGATTTGAGATTTTGTAAGATTTTTATATTTTGGAGGAATTCTGTGAAATCTTAAGGGTGTGTATTCAATTGAGATTTCAAGTGACATTTTGAGACTTTTTAAAGATTTTAAAATTTTGAAAGAATTCTATGAGATCCTATGGGGAGTTTATTCAACTGGAATTTTAAGTGACATTTTAAGACATTTTAAAATTTTCAAATTTTGGACGAATTATGTTAAGGGTGTATTCAATTAGGATTTCTAAGGACTTTTTAACACTTTCAAAATCTTGGTGTATTCAATTTAGATTCGTTAAGACTTTTTAAAATTTTTAAAATCTCGAGATATTCAATTGGGATTTTAAAAAGTTTTACAAAATCCTTAGGTGTTTAATTTATTTGACACTAAGATTTATTAAAACTTTTTAAAATTTAGTGGGATTTCTAAACAAAAAAACCTTATACGGAATCCCACTTTAAATCCTACCTTCAGATTTAAAATTTCATAGAATTCGTCCAAAATCTACAAATCTTAAAAGGTCTCGAACTTTAAAAAGTCTTAAAATGTAACTTTAAATCTCAACTGAATACAAATAGTTTTAACAAATCCTAGTGTAAAATAAATTAAATACCTCGAAATTTTGTAAGACTTTTTGAAATCAAAATTGAATAACCCAAAACTTTTAAAAGTCTTAACAAATCAAAATTAAATACACAAGGATTTCTAAAGTCTTAAAAGGCCCTTACAAATCACAATTGAATATACAGTTTAAAGGTGAAATTTGAAATGGGATTTCGTAAAATGTTTTTTCTTTAAAAATCCCACCAGAAAAGTCTTTAACAAATCCTAGTCACAAATAAGTTAAATACCTCGAGATTCTGTAAGACTTTTTAAAACCTCAATTGAATACCTCAATATTTTTAAAAGTCTTAAAAATCTTAACAAAATTTAAATTGAATACACTCTTTAAAAACTCTTTAGAAATTCCGATTGTATACACTCCCTT